ATCTCTAGGTTAACTGATAGTACAATACAGTGTGCAGTTGATGAACAGAATTTTTACAATTGTTATTTTACCCTAAGTGATTAAATATAATTTTACCCTGAATACAAGGCATTATACAATTTAACAGGCCTTGCAATATTCAAAAAAATTGTGAGAACTTGCATAGAGTAGAAGTCATTACATAGTAATTAGATTCGAATTGTATATTGATTTCTATTTTGTTATTAGGTGATTGCTCAATTGAATAAATATGGTTTCTGTCTTGAGCTGAAAATGAAATACAACATCCTGAATGAAATTGGCAATCATTTTCTTGATCATGCTGCAGAATTGGTGAAGTCTGGCTGCAAGTTTGTTTACGTTCTGGATAACATTGATTGGGAAGAAAAAGCCCATGATATGAGACAGGATGTACAAAACCGAAGTGTGCATGCAGTTGCTACGAGCATCGTGTTTAACAGAGTTCCAGAAAAAGATTTACTAGACTCTGGTCCACAGAAGAACCTCCGTACCTGTAATGTCGATGAGCTAGTGACTGTGAGTGATGAGGAAATGAAAGAAATCCGTGCCCGCTACCGTGCAATCATTGCAAAGCTTTTGTTTGAACATTTTACATCCTTTGAAATGTTTAAACAGCACACCCCTCAAGCAACTGAGTGTACATATGCCAACGAAATGTCAATGCGGTCTGATATCGTCACCATGCCTGTTTTAATGAAGGATGAAAAGAAGTATGCTGAATGTGTTGATGTTTTGGATCAACTGGAGCAATGGACTTATGAAATATATTCAGCTGCTGGTCTATGTTCTCCTGATCCTAAATCCTCCGAGAAAATCACCCCTGTGATCACAGCCCATTCCAGACCAGATCAACCTGCCTCACATGTACCACCTCTTGCAACTGAGAATGATCCATTGCATGGTGTGAAAATACCATGCTATGGAGATCAACTCACTCGTGTCAGATTTGCTGGTGCAAAAGATCTACGTGCTGGGTGCCATTCTCCAAAGCAATGGCTGGATCATCTGTACCCATTCTGTATAGTTGACTGGCATACAAAAAGAAGCTATTTGAAGGTATTGTCTTATCACAAATATGTACAGATGAAATTTATATCTATATGTGCTGTATGCCCAATATATTGTATTTTCTTCATCCAACAAAAATCAATTGTATTTAGTATATAGATTTCTAAAATGACATTTTAAGTTTGCCTAGCCACAAAGTAGTTTTAAAAAACCTTTGAATTGAGTATATTTTATGATCCCCATTTTTTTTCTAGCTTCCCCTCAAAGTTATCCCTTAATAGAGTTCAATTAGGCTTCTTGTATCAATCTCACATTCCACTCATAGTAATGTATGTTGTTGTATGAGAGCCATGAGAATTTGAGCAATGTTTTAGGATTGTTATTTGGAACTGTGCGTATACTAGCGTTGTTCCTATACAACTGAGCTTCTGAAAACCTGTTCTGATTGTATGTTTGAAACTGACATTGTTTTTTTCATTCAGACTGTATTTAAGCATCTATACAAGAATTCTGGAAGAGAAAAGGGTACTCTACGGTTCTTCAGGGAAAAATTGAACAGGAGGAATGTTACTCTGGATGTGAAACACTATGAAGACTGTGAGCAGCTGTTTTTCAGTGTTGGTAAGTGCTTTGTTATTGAAGCCCTTTTGGAATTCTTCCAAATGCTTGATACAAAGCACAAACCAACTGCAAACAGTCCTCATAGTGTTTATG